TTAATTTAAAATTGCTTCTCTAATAAGTATGAGCAAATCTAGAGCAGAGTAACTTTACTTTTAGGGGTCTCCTCCAGTTTGATGATTTATGTTTGGGCTCACAAGCGGAAATGTTTGGGTTTCAGAGTCCAGGTTAGAACCGGGTTTGTTTCATTTGGTTCATCCTGGTTTAACAGAGAAGGAACAAAAACTTTATCACAGTCGCATTAAAGTTCAATAAGGCATTATTTCTTAACAAAACACAGAGTTAATGATGTCACTTTCTGTTCTCTTCAAAGGCAAATGCTCTGCAGCTGAAATCGAGATGAAGAAGCAGCAGGCGCTGGAGAGGAGACGACAGAGGCTGCAGGCTGTAGGGAACCGACCCGGAAACAGCTGAGCGGTGAAACGGGCGCCGATCCGAATGGACTTCAGTTACGGGGAACAGAGACGGAACCGGCCGCTGCATTTCTGCCTTGGCTCGGTTTTAAATCAACATAAGGATGCGTTTAGGTACCGCAGAAAACGCTGCTATGATCCTACGGTAGCCCAGAGAGGACAAACTAAACTATGGAATATCTGTGTCATTGTTAATCTGTTGTGACTTTGGGGTAAAAACTGCTCCTGGATCTGAATGAAAAACTTTGCATTTTAAAAGTTTTTTTTTGTTTAGGAAACCTTAACAAACACCCTGAGTCGGGATATATGCTTAACTTACAGAATCAGTGTGACGATATCTGAATGGTTCCTGGCATCACTGTTGGAGGAAACGTTTTTTTTTAGGTCTCTGCAGTGTATTAACTAGCATTGGGAAAAAATTCGATCCAATATATTTGAAACAAAAACACATTTAGCATAAAATAAATTTGCGGAACATTTGTTTCAAAGATGGGATTTGTACTTCAAGTTTATGATACGTTTGCAGGAGTAAAACCCATATTTTTAGTTTGCTTTTTCTTCAGATTTTTACTTTATTCATTTTATTTTCCAAATATTTCTTCAAATTTTATGTTTTTTTCAAAGTTCTTTTTAGATTTTTTTAGGGGAGGGATGAGTTTTACAAATTGGATTCTTTTCAAATCCCGATTTGCAGATGGATGGATCTGAATTTTTCTCTTTACACTGAACCATGGAAGTTAGAAATAGCTCTTCTATTGGTCACTGACCGCCCAAATGTGCAGTGGGTGGGATGTTTAAATCAGGATTTAGTAGAGCGCAATTTGCAAAACTTAGACTCCCTTTAAAAAAGAAATCTTGAAATGAAAAAGAAAAAAAAAATCTGAGAAATTATACTTTTGGGGGGAAAAAAACTCTGCAATAGTTTTTTTTTATTTTTATATTCAAGCAATTTAAAATCGGAAAAAAAAATCTGAAAAAATATTACAAACTAAAAATAATACATTTTTACTTAAATTACTCTAAAAAAAACTTTTTTGATTGAGAGGTTTTAAAGGTTCCATTTTTGAAACACTTCTTTTTAATTAACTGTTTTAAAACCAGTTGGTTTAATTAATCTGTTAATCAAAACCATGTTGGTCCAGCTGAGAGCATCTGTCCCCCTCCTCATTTCCAGCGCTCCTTTACTCACATTTTTGGACTCTAAGACTGTTTATCCTCACTGAGCATGTCCAGTTAATGTTGATGATTTGCACCTTCATGAATCTGCTTTTGAATAAAAGGAATTTAACCAACCTGTGTTGATGAATCATTGCTTAAAAAAAACAGTTAAATTCAATTCAGTTTATTTATATAGCACCAAATTCACAACACGTCATCTCAAGGCACTTTACAGTTCAACCAGA